TCTACCACTTGAGCCACAGCACCACTTCCGGCTTTTTTCTTTTTGCTTATGTGGTGCTGAGGAATCGAACCCAGGGCCTTGAGCATGCAAAGCAAGCGCTCTACCACTGAGCCACCTTCCCAGCCCTTTAGCCACTTTTCAAGTCTTTCTTTGTCATGAAGAGGAAACCTATAATCCTGACAACTAGGTAGGTTGAGGCAGAAGGATTAAGAGTTGGGAGGGTAATCTTGTGCTACACAGTAAGACTGGGTAAAAACTCAATTTGCAGTCTTTATTGTTCCATCCCCTGTGATTCTTTTTTTTTTTTGGTCAGTCATGGAGCTTGAACTCTAGGCCTGGACGCTGTCCCTCAGCTCTTCAGATCAAGGCTAGCATTCTACCACTTGAGCCACAGCGCCACTTCCAGTTTTCAGAGTGGTTTATTGGAGAGAAGAGTCTCATGAACTTTCCTGTCTGGGCTGACTTTGAACCACAATCCTCAGATCTCAGCCTCCTGAGTAGCTGGTATTATAGGCATGAGCCACCAGCACCCAGCTACCCCTGCAATTCTTACAGCATGTTGCAGAGCAGTAGTGGGGTATCAATTGGGTAAAGTCCTGGGGTGACTCCAGTTGGCAAAGGGTACAGACCAGCCCTCCTTGCTTGGGCGGGTCCACAAGTCCAAGCAGCCCATGCCACTGTGCCTGTGCCCTTTCCTTTTAATTTTATTAATTTTTGTTTATGTGGTACCAGGAATCAAACCCAGGGCCTTATGCATGCTAGGCAAGTATCTACCATTAAGCCATATTCCCAGGCCATCTTTGATTTTTTTTCACACATTTAATCTTTATTACAGCTAAACAAAAGTCTGTCTTTGGTCCCACTGTGGTTGTCTTATTCCTTTTTAAAATATATATATATATATGTATATGAATATATATATATATATATATCCATTTTAATGGTCTTAGAACAGTGAGGGTAGAAGCTAGGAGTCTTGAAGTCTTCCTTATTCTCATTTTTTTTTCTGGTTAAAAAAAAAATGTCACGGGGTGTGGTGATAGATACCCATAATCCCAGCACTGAAAAACCTAAGTGATGGGCTGGGAAGGTGGCTCAGTGGTAGAGTGTTTGCCTTGCATGCATGAGGCCCTGGGTTCAATTCCTCAGCACCACATAAACAGAAAAAGCTGGAAGTGGTACTGTAGCTCAAGTGGTATAGCACTAGCCTTGAGCTGAAGAGCTGAGTGACAGTGCCCAGGCCCAGAGTTCAGGCCCCACGACCAGACCCAAAAAAAAAAACAAAAACAAAAACGAAGTGAGAAAATCACAAGTTAAAAGTCAGTCTGAGCTACATAGTGAGATCCTGTCAAAAAGTCAAATAAAACTAACAAAATAAATGACTAAATTCAGCTAATACTTTTGTGGGCACTGTCACTGAGCTTTTTTGCTCTAGCCTAGCACTCTACCACTTGAGACACAGCTATACTCTTTTTTGCTTTTTGGTGACTAGTTAGAGATAATCTCAAGGCCTTTCCTGCCCGGGGTGGCTTCAAACAGATCCTCAGATCTCGGCCTCTTGAGTAGTAACTAGGATTACAGACAAAAAATACTTCCTCTTAATTTTCTTTCAATTGTATTCAGATACCCTGAATTCAAGTTTTAGTTTTATTGAAGTATTTTGGGAAAGTGGATGAATAGGTTCAATAAAGACACTTTATTTTCCCTTTAAGAGTCTAGAATTTAAATCAGGCAAATAATGAGTTTTTCTCCCTGGTCTATTAAACCATATTTATGTTTTTCCATTAGGTTGTTGTAACATGATTGAAAGATAATGGGATTTAGGGCAGTTATGCCAGTATCTTAAATGTACTTTGTGCCTGGGTAAGCTACTTAATCTTACATGAATTCAGCATTTTATTGTAAAGAAGAGAAAATATGAGGATTGAAAAACATGAAATATGTAATGTAACTAATATAATGCTTTGCTCATAACACCTGTTAGCTCTCTGTGTTTTCTTTTGAGCTCAGAACTACTATCTGGTAGATGATGTCAGTGGCTTCAGGCGCTTCCTACATAAAATAATGCTTTCTTGGTAGTATAGTTCTGAAAAGGATAAACTTTAATATTGGAACTTAGATCAGAGTGAAATGTCACTTTACTAAATCAGAGCTTCTGTGTGCAGGGATTGATATTTAGGTTAAGATACCCAGTATGTGTTCTCTCGGATATGCAGAAATTAGATCTAAAACACATTGGTATTTGATAAATTATACATGATTTTAGGTACTCACACAGTGAGACCAAAAGAAAATACTCTTTTTTTTTTTTTTTGGCCAGTCATAGGACCTGTACTTTGGGCCTGGGCGCTGTTCCTCCGCTCTTCAGCTCAAATTGAGCGCTTTACCACTTGAGCCACAGTGCCACCTCTGGCTTTTTCTGCTTATGTGGTGCTGAGGGATCGAACCCAGGGCCTCATGGCACTCTACCACTGAGCCACCTTCCCAGCCCAAGAAAATACTCTTAGGAGAGAAACACAAAGGTGCTATGCCTAAGTGCCTCGTTATATAAAACAATATACATACTGAAATGAACTCCAAGATACAGAAACAAAAGACTTCTTTTTCTTTCATTCTTTTTTTTTTAGTTTTTGATGATTCTGTCTTCTTTACCTTATGTATGGTATATTCAAGTGTAAATCTTTGGAAGGGTTGGGGACGGCACAAAACTCGAGAGAAAAAGGGTGAAAAAGTGTAGCAGTGGAGCTCACTGGACACTGCTGAAAATGACCTATTCAACTCATTTGTGGAGACAGGAGGGAGGGACTGGAGGAGAATGAAGGAACAGAATACACTGTAAGAAAGGATATTATTACCTAACTCATGTAATTGTAATCCCTCTGTGCATCACTTCTATAATAAGAATAAAATAATAATAATAATAAAGATCCATTATGAGGGCTTCTGGAACAGAGTAGTAATAAAGGGAGGAATCCATATGTAATTCATGCCTATGTCCCAAGTACCAGAGAGGCTGAAATAGGAGGATCATAAGTTGAGGGCCAGCTGATCTACATTGCAAAACCCTATTTATTAAAAGGAAAATAAAAGGGATTATATTGGAAGCTGAGGAACTCTCTTACCATGTGATACATTTCAGGTTATTGAAGAGAGGGAAAAACTAAAGAGCGACCGGGAAGCTCGCCAGAAGAAAATGTACTATCTCAGGACTGAGTTGGAGCGGCTTCATAAACAACAAGGTATGAGACAACTCTTCATACAATTCCTGGCTACCTTTTGTAGTAACTTGAGTAGGAGACCAGAGTGGAGAAATGTTGGTACATTCAAACAAGCTCAGTGAGAAAAATTTTGACATAGACATAGAAAAAAGTTAGACTAACAAAGATTTCTCAAGTAGCCTCCCAATCAACATTTTACTTCATTTCTTCTTTCTCTCAATCTGTGTATGTTTGTATAATTTTTTCTGAACTTTATAGTAAATTTTAGATACGATGTTTCCCCCTAATTTTTTTTTTTTTTTTTGTCGGTCATGGGGCTTGAACTCTGGGCCTGGGCGCTGTCCCTCAGCTCTTCAGCTCAAGGCAAGCACTCTACCACTTGAGCTACAGTGCCACTTCCGGTTTCCCGTGGTTTATTGGAGATAGGAGTCTCATGGTCTTTCCTGCCTTGGCTGGCTTTGAACCGCGATTCTCAGATCTCAGCCTCCTGAGTAGCTAGGATTACAGGCGTGAGCCACCGGCGCCCAGCTTCCCCCTAAATTTGTGTATTTCCTAGCAACCAAAAATCCAAGTATATAATTACAGTGCATAAAAAACATTAGGAAATTAATGATAATACAATACTATTATCTAGTCTACTACACTTACTCATATTTTGCCAGTTGTCCCAGTAATGTTTTATGGCAAAAGTATTCATCATATTCAATTGTCATGTTTTGCCTGGAGATGTGGCTAAAACACTTGCAAGAGAAGAGGTCACATATTTCACAGGTTGTTCCTTAATTTTGGTTTGCTTTTTGTTTTCTTTTTATTTTTTTTAATATTGGTCAAAATACTACAAAGTAATGCTAAGTTCATTTCAGGTGTTCACTTGGCCCATTACTGATGACATTAACTTTGATCATTTGCTAATAGTGGTATCTTCAAGTTTCTCCACTGTAAAGTTACTATCTTATCCTTTTGTTTTGTTTTGTTTTCATTTGTGAGGCTTGAACTCAGGGCTTGGTCATTGTCTCTGAGCTCTTCGGCTCAAGGCCACAGTGCCACTTTCAGTTTTCTGGTGGTTAATTGGAGATAAGAGTCTCATGGACTTTCCTTGCCGGGCTGGCTTTGAACCATGATCCTCAGTTCTCAGTCTCCTGTGTAGCTAGGATTACAGGCATGAGCCATTGGTGCCCAGCTAGCTTATCCCTTTTTATAAAATGTTTTCTGTTATATATATCATTGTTTAATTTTAGGAAATATTGTGGACTGGGAATGTGGCTTAGGGGCAGAGTTCTTGCCTACCATGCATGAAACCTGGTTTTGATTCCTCAATACCACATAAACAGAAAAGCTAGAAGTAGCTCAAGTGGCAGAGTGCTAGCCTTGAGCAAAAGAAGCTCAGGGACAGTGTCCAGGCCCTGAGTTCAAGCCTCAGGACTGCCCCCAAGCCCACCCTCCCAAAAAAAGAAAAGGAAATATTCTAGGATTGGAGGTGTGGCTTAGGTGATAAGAGTGCCAGCCAGTTATCAAAAACGTAAGATAGCAAGTTAAATTCCAGACAAAAGTTATTCTAATAAAAAACATTGTTAATGAAATCATAATACTTTCTATAACATTTCTCTCAGAAGGTAAAAAAACACAAAGGTCTTCCTGAGGAAGGATACAAATGGAATGAAATTTGTATAGCATTGCCATACTGTATAATATAAACTGTGACACTACACACAAACATCCACCAAATTATTATATATGAATGCCTTTTCTTAGTTCCAATATTGTAAATTGACTTTATGCTTTACTTCTAATGTGTTTTAAACTGACATGCTGACTTTGCAATCAATGCTTTGTAAGAGGGCACAGGTAATTCTAGCACAGAAGAAACCACAAACTATGAATGGGGAATGACATCATTGGCATTCTTCCACTGCTGTTTATCTAAACTCTTCATTCTTGCATTGAAGGCTCTTTGTGTATTGGTTTTAAAGTGGCACAAACTGTCACACAGTTCCCAGGCTGTATTCCAAGGATATCACAACAGTGATAAAATATGGAGGTTACCGCTTTCTCGTGTGTGTGTGGGGGGGTGGGGATGTGTGTGGGGGTGGGGGTGCACGCGCGCGCGTGTGTGCACGTGTGCTGCATGCGTGAGTGCCCACCAGTACTAGGATTTGAACTCAGGGCCTCTAGTTCTCCCTCTTGATTTGTACTTTAATACTTAAGCTGCACCTCTGCTTTTGGCTCTTTTTTAAGTCCAAGACTAGGACTTGAACTCAGTACCTGATGCTTTCATTCATTGGCTAGCACTCTACCTACTGAGCCATCCTACTAACCCTTAAATTTGGCTTCTTTGCTGGCCAATTGAAGACGAAAGTCATTCAAATTTGTCTGCCTAGGCTAGCTTTGAACCATGATTCTTAGATTTTAGCCTCTTGAGTAGCAAAGAGTATAGGCATGAACTATTGATGCCAGGTGGTTTCTTTTCTTTCCACTCCCCACCTACAATGGTGGCATCAAACTAGGTCTGACAGGCACAAGTCATGATCTTCTCTCTTTATGTCTGTCACTGTTTGTTAACAAGAAGAGTAAGCATGGCATTGATGTCCTCTGCTAGGGTCGTATGCTGTAAATGCACAGATTTTCAGATGAAATAATATTCAGTCAATTTCCTACTGTCTAGTTAAAACTTTACTAGTAGGATTTCTTCCATAAGGAGGAACTTCCCCACTCCTATTCTCATTGGTTTAGTCATTTTTATCACTGTGAACCCATTAAGTAGTAATAGATTATAATCTTTATTTTCATGCTCAAATTGTCCTAAATTTAGCTAGTTGGAGCCCCTTTGAGTTGGCTGTAGTGTTCTTTGTGTGTGTGTGTGTGTGTGTGTGTGTGTGTGTGAACAGTACTGTGGCTTGAACTCAGGACCTTGTGCTCTAACTTAGCTTTTTTGCTCAAGATGTTTCACCATTTGAGCCATACCTCCATGTTGGGACTTTTAAAAAGAAGCTATTTGTTTATGTGGTACTGGGGGTTGAACTCAGAGCCTTGCACTTACTACTCAGGTGCTCCACCACTTGGGTCATGCCAACTAGGGATATGCTAGTTTGGTCTGGCTTCAAACTAGAGTCCTCATATGTCAGCCTCCTGAGTAGCTAGAATTTCAGGCATGAGTTACCACCTGTGACTGGCAGTTATGTCTTTTTGTTGCTGTTGTTGGTCATGGGGCTTGAACTCAGGCCTGAGC